CAGCTACACACACACACACGTACACTCAGCTACACACACACACACGTACACTCAGCTACACTCAGCTACACACACACACACACGTACACACAGCTACACACACACACACACGTACACACACACACGTACACACAGCTACACACACACACGTACACACAGCTACACACACACATACACGTACACACAGCTACACACACACACACACGTACACACAGCTACACACACACACACGTACACTCAGCTACACACACACACACGTACACTCAGCTACACTCAGCTACACACACACACACACAGCTACACTCAGCTACACACACACACACACGTACACACAGCTACACACACACACACACGTACACACAGCTACACACACACACACACGTACACACAGCTACACACACACACACACGTACACACAGCTACACACACACACACGTACACACAGCTACACACACACACGTACACACAGCTACACACACACACACGTACACACAGCTACACACACGTACACACAGCTACACACACGTACACACAGCTACACACACACACACACGTACACACAGCTACACACACACACACACGTACACACAGCTACACACACACACGTACACACAGCTACACACACACGTACACACAGCTACACACACGTACACACAGCTACACACACGTACACACAGCTACACACACACACGTACACACAGCTACACACACGCACACGTACACACAGCTACACACACGTACACACAGCTACACACACGTACACACAGCTACACACACGTACACACACACGTACACACAGCTACACACACATACACAGCTACACACACACGTACACACAGCTACACACACACACGCCGTCCCAGCGGCCCTGCTGGGAATCCCGAGGTATTTTCAGCACAAGGAACTCCGTACCGCGTAATCCGCCAAGTCAACAAGTGGAAAAGAAGACACACGCACACAACACGCATATCGGGACGAATAAGATGAAAAGCATTTACTGCCCATTGAGTTACGTGGATACGGTCGTTCAGAAGTATTTTTGTCATTCCTTTTCGTTGATTGCATAATCTTGCCAATGAATTAATTGACGTATACTTTTGCTTTCGGGAAATGTTTCTTTATTGCCGTTCGTATGAATATCGTCGCATGCATGTTTAAGGACGTCTTCCTATCGCCGTATATGCTCGCGTTACTCTGAGGAATTAATCGAATGTTCTGTTACCCAGTAAACAACGTAATCATTGAGGGTTAAATGTACGGATCAATGAGAACATCTCAAGGGGTACTGTGTTGACAATTCCAAGCATAAGAGTTCGAATATTAAAGTTATGTTTTTGGTTAGAAATTTAAATTTCTTAACACAAAAGAGTCCGAGTGGTGCCTTCCTAAGTTCATGCGTAATGATCTCAATTATGAGAACTGTATCCTGCGGTGAGATTTGAATTTGGAGACACGAAGACACAATCAGTAAATGTTAAAACGAGACTAATTGTATTATCCCGAGTGATAATACGACCCTAGGCAACGAAGATAAGCATAATTATCATACCTGCATACATTAGCATAATTGCATACAGTTGCATAACTTAATAGGATCACCTCCCTAATTAGCATAATTTCGGCTAATTACACATTTTTCCTATTTACATTTAATTTTTATTATTTTTAATTAATTTTTCAAGGCCCAACATATACAACAGGTGTGAAGCCAGCCAGGCTCACGATGTCCTTGAATGCTGGGATGAACAGATCTGACTTCAGCTGCATGTGTGTGCTGTGTTAACTTCTTGACTGTTTCCATTCTTACAAAGAGCTCCAGAGGAAAACAAAAAACAAACTACAGCTTTGATATAACCTCCCTGTTCAATAGAGTTAATAGAATTTACTGCAAACACAAACTTTACACTGTCACACACTGGCATGGCTCACAGATGGTGGTGTATTAATGCTTCCTTACTCCACCAAGAAATTCATTGAGGATCAATCAACATCGCCGAGGCTGCGTCTCTCTCCCCGTGGTGTTAACTACCTCTCCTGGTATACAGGAAGTCGTGGGTTCGATCCCGACCCTGACCTCCGGTTGTCCCCATCTCGACATGCAGAGAGTGAACACCGCCACGCATCTAGAGTGAACACCGCCACGCGTCTAGAGTGAACACCGCCACGCGTCTAGAGTGAACACCGCCACGCGTCTAGAGTGAACACCGCCACGCGTCTAGAGTGAACACCGCCACGCGTCTAGAGTGAACACCGCCACGCGCCTAAAGTGAACACCGCCACGCGTCTAGAGTGAACACCGCCACGCGTCTAGAGTGAACACCACCACGCGTCTAGAGTGAACACCGCCACGCGTCTAGAGTGAACACCGCCACGTGTCTAGAGCGAACACCGCCACGTGTCTAGAGTGAACACCGCCACGTGTCTAGAGTGAACACCGCCACGTGTCCAGAGTGAACACCACCACGCGTCTAGAGTGAACACCGCCACGCGTCTAGAGTGAACACCGCCACGCGTCTAGAGTGAACACCGCCACGCGTCTAGAGTGAACACCACCACGTGTCTAGAGCGAACACCGCCACGTGTCTAGAGTGAACACCGCCACGTGTCTAGAGTGAACACCGCCACGTGTCCAGAGTGAACACCACCACGCGTCTAGAGTGAACACCGCCACGCGTCTAGAGTGAACACCGCCACGCGTCTAGAGTGAACACCGCCACGCGTCCAGAGTGAACACCGCCACGTGTCTAGAGTGAACACCGCCACGTGTCCAGAGTGAACACCACCACGCGTCTAGAGTGAACACCGCCACGCGTCTAGAGTGAACACCGCCACGCGTCCAGAGTGAACACCGCCACGTGTCTAGAGTGAACACCGCCACGTGTCTAGAGTGAACACCACCACGCGTCTAGAGCGAACACCACCACGTGTCTAGAGTGAACACCGCCACGTGTCTAGAGTGAACACCACCACGCGTCTAGAGCGAACACCACCACGTGTCTAGAGTGAACACCGCCACGTGTCTAGAGTGAACACCACCACGCGTCTAGAGTGAACACCACCACGTGTATAGAGTGAACACCGCCACGCGTCTAGAGCGAACACCACCACGTGTCTAGAGTGAACACCACCACGTGTCTAGAGTGAACACCGCCACGTGTCTAGAGTGAACACCGCCACGCGTCTAGAGTGAACACCGCCACGTGTCTAGAGTGAACACCGCCACGTGTCTAGAGTGAACACCGCCACGTGTCTAGAGTGAACACCGCCACGTGTCTAGAGTGAACACCGCCACGCTGTTGACGAGCCTCACCTTGTTGTTATTGTTGTTGTGGGCAGGTCGCTTCTGAAAACAAGAGCGGTACAGCAGCTCAAGCGGGCGTGGCCTGGTAAAAAATGAAAAAAAAACGGTGTTAGTATAGAATATTTAAACAAAGGTACAAAGTGGCGATCCGGGTCAAGACAAATTAAACTTAAGCGAGAGAATTGAAGCAAACGCGATCAGGCGAGGGCAGGAGGCAAGGCCCCGCGTTGTAAAGTTACAACGTGCACATCGCTTCCATGCTCGCTGCTACTCAATTGACATCCATACGAGAGAGAGAGCGAGGCTCTACCTCGGTACACAACAACAACCACAACAACAACCACCACCACCACAACAACAACCACCACAACAACCGCGATGAGAATTTCTCACCTCGGATTTCAGTGCACGGGCCGAGCGGCAACTTTCTGGTCCCTCGTGACGTCACGCGGCAGCAGGTGACATGACGTCACTTGCGGGGTACGATGACACTCCCCTCCCCACAATGAGCGGCTCTCAACTCGCGACGACTTTCACGAATAAATTATGTTAATGAGCCGCCAGTCACCGGGCGTAGCTTTGCCCAAATAAGGATTGGCACTGGAACAGATATCGGCAGCGGCCGAGCGGAGGTGACGTCACGCTCAAGAGCGCGTGAGTTGGGTGGGGTGAATACCTTGGTGACATGATGTCACTAGCGAGGCACACCTCCCCCTGGCGTTTGACGCAGATGAGGTCACGCTGAGCGGCGACGTTAGAGGGCGGGGTCAGAGTTCAAGTTTGTTGACAGAAGGGGAGCGGCAGTGCCCTTAATAGGTGCTCGCTAACAGCACTTGCCCCTACAGTCTAAGGCTATACGGGGGGTCTTTGTCTTTGTGTGTTGGGAGCAAGTTTGAGTGGCGTGTAGCCGTGGGAGTTGAACGGGCGCCTGCTGCTACTGACAGTAGTTGACTGCGGTGGGACAGACGCTGATAGACACAGACAGACAAGACAGGCGGACAGACACAGACAAGAGGAACACAGAGACAGAGAAAGATACACAGAGACGACATCGACAGAGAGACACAGGCAGAGAGACACACAGAGGCGAACAGAGAGACAGACGGACAGAGATGTTGAATCGAACACACTGAACTCGCTCCATTGAAAGAGATTCCTCGATCTTTGCCCATCCCCGGAAGTCGTTCTAGTTTCTATTTATTTCATTGTGTGTGGTGTGTAGTGTAAGCCATGTGGGATATCGATGTACACAGATATGAACAACATCAGCAAACAAGACGTCTTTCATTTATCAGTCTCTCCGCGAAACAAAGGAATGTTTTACACAAAATATAACTACTGCAGCATTCAGTGCAAGTCAACTGTGGACCGGTTTTGGTGTACAATTTATACGTAAATATATAAGCGCACGACTTCATCTATCTGTGAAGAACGCTGCACTTTCCATCGCTTTCATGCAGGGGGCGCTGCAAACCTACGCACCCCCTGCATGAACGACGGAGGCGCAGGGACAGACGTTCGATCGCGTTGGAATCGATCTGCAGACGGCGTTCTTCTCCCAACCAGGTGAAAGTCCGCATCAAACAGAATCCGCGGCAAGCCAATCTACTTAACGACGAGAGAAAATTCACACGAAATGTCGTTTTCAATGAAGTCTTCCAGATGTAAAATGATATAAGCTTTTATTGAAGAAACACAATTTAAAACATAATACAATTCAAAGTTGTTTCAATTTAAAACTTCAAAACGGAGCATCGGGAGTTTGCGTGGATGCGTCGCTCGTGTGTAATTTTCTTCGTGACTTTTCTGGCCCAAGGCCGTAAATGGTTGTGAGGGGCACCGCAGGCGGTCAGGCTTGCTTCACCCCATGGTTGTCAACATCCAGACGTTAATCGGCAAGGACCATTTCTTGTCCTAGTTCGCCAACATATACGATGTCATGCAAAATTCTCATGAGTGTTGTTGTGCAGAATGTATCTACTAGATGTGCTCTGCCTTGTAACCAAATACAAATCTGTACCAAAAATGCACTCCAAATGTGTTCTTAAAATTACCTCCTTGCTATGAAGCAAATCAGCAGACACGAAATCTTTCATTTATCACCTGAGTGATCTGTACAGGTTACTCCAAAAACACAGACTTTGTCCTAACATGACTTAATCAATGTTTGACCCTTGTAGACAAAATGTTAACATGTACGCACACAATCGGACTAGTATTCATTCTAAATTATTGACAATCATTTTTACGAAGTTAAATTACTGCACCAGGTTACATAGTATTAACAAGATAAACAAAAAAACACTGTCTGCTTAAGTGTATGTACAACATACTAATGCACCATTTAAAACGAGTCGGCCATTGCTGGCATCTGGGTAAAAATTTTGCAAATTCCAAACATTACCTACAAACTCCACAACTGAGATGCCACATTAACCATCACCCCCTACTGACAGGCTCTTGTCCACACGCAGGCCAGTGCAGGGCCACCACCTTGTGCCACACAGGGGCAGCTGCCACTTGGGGATGCTCTTCGAGTGTTTGAGACGAGAAACGATACAAAACTACGAATTGCCGAGGCAATTAATCAAGCACAATATAAATGCAATTATGATAACAGAGTGAATGCTTGGGAGCTTATTGGCTCTCGCTCCTGGTTAGAGATCTACCCAACACACAGGTCCACAAAAACTGGCCGCTCTTACCCTGCAGGTTGAACCTAGGAACTGAGTGTTCAACTTCACATTCTTGTCATTAAAGGCCTGTGACAAAGGTGCATCTATTGGAGCAGCATCGTCTAAGGCAGTGGTTCTTAACCTTGTTGGAGGTACTGAACCCCACCAGTTTCATATGCGCATTCACAGAACCCTTCTTAATTGGAATTTATTTTTTATTTTTTCAAATTCAAAACATAGGTACATGTTTTACTGGTGCACAATCATGAGTCAGGTGTGTGTCTTAACCTCCGCCGAACCCCTGAGACTGACTCACCGAACCCCTGGGGTTCGATCGAACCCAGGTTAAGAACCACTGGTCTAAGGCTTACGCATCTCCCGGGTCTCCATTTGACTTTGTATTGTCTCGGAGGAAGTCCACCCACACCTCCACTTCCACAAACTGCTGGGAGTTGCTTCGCTCTGCCTCACAGTCAGAATTCTCCTCCTGCTTCACGTTGCCTCCATCGATGTGAAGGTCCCATTTGGGAGTTGAATCTCCATCTTCACATTTTACCTTCACCTCTTCACATTTCACCTTCACCTCTTCACATTTCACCTTCACCTCTTCACATTTCACCTCGTTACCTTCAAAAGTGTCCAAGCTGGGATTTTCTTCCGGTTCTTGTTTGATGAGGGATGGGCTCATTGAGGCACTTTGACTTTCACAAGCTGATTTCAGACTCCACTCCTTGTGGATTTTCTGATGCTTGTGTGATCTCTTGTGTCTTTGAACATGTGATGACTGTGCAAAGGCCTTCCCGCACACACTGCACTTGAAGGGTTTCTCTCCCGTGTGTGTTCTCTGGTGTACTACAAGAGCAGATGACTGTGCAAACGCCTTCCCACACACACTGCATTTGAAGGGTTTCTCTCCCGTGTGTGTTCTCTGGTGTGCTACAATATTAGATGACTGTGCAAACGCCTTCCCACACACACTGCACTTGAAGGGTTTCTCTCCTGTGTGAGTTCTCTGGTGCAGTGTCAACTGTGCAGGACAATCCGTGCTGTATGCACACCGGTCGCATTGTTGCCTTTTTGCACCGAGCTGCGCCGAGTGCCTTTGCTCCATCAGACCACTTCTGCAGAGGCAGCGACAGCTGCAGACAGAAAAAGAAGAATATCCACACCATCTACACGTCAGTATCGAGGCACAGAGGAATGCATATACACAGTCACACGTGACTTACACGTCTATAGTTGTTCATATATTTATGATATAGTAAAAAAAAAGTGTCCCAAATTCATCACACGGGCTGTTATGGCACACAATGAGAGGCCAAATGGTCATAAACGTGCCTGGAAGCCCTCGTATCTTCAAAATGAACGTTAACCCAAAACTCAGAGCACACAATTTCAGCTGTTTGGCTTCAAAATAAATGTTTATGAAAGCTAAATTTAGCTGACAAAGCAAAGGATGTTGAAAATAATACTATTTGTGTTATGCACAAATGCATAAATTAATGTTCAATCGCAATTTAGAGGTGTGAAGCCAGGCACAGATGTCCTTGATTGCTGGGATGAGCAGTTCCGACTTCAGCTGCTGCACGTGTGTGCTGTGATCACTTCCTGACTCCATTCTTACAAAGAGTTCCAGAGGAAAACTAAAATAAACTACTGTTTTGATTCTAGATTTGAAGCTTTCGTGACTGCAAAGATTCATATTCTTAGGTTTTTTCGGTTAAGTCACGTAAGTAAAACATCAAAATAAAAATAAAATAAAAATAAAAAATCGTCGTGATTTTTATTTTTATTTTATTTTTATTTTGATGTTTTACTTACGTGACTTAACCGAAAAAACCTAAGAATACTGTTTTGATATAACCTATGTGCTCAATAGAGTTAATAGATTCTAGATTCGAAGCTTTCGCGACTGCAAGGATTCATATTCTTAAGTTTTTTCGGTAAAGTCACGTAGGTAAAAACATTAAAAAGTAAAATAAAATAAAAAATCACGACGTTTCGGAGGCAACACAAGCTTCCGTCTTCAGGTGGTACCGTCACAGCCACGACAGCTGTATCAAGTAAATGAGAGATTGCAGGAGCTACCACTCCGTTTATATAATGGTTGGAGAAGATGGTGGGGCAATGGCCGCATACTTTTTATTAATATGGTAAGGTGAGGCTTAAGACTAAGAGTGGAGAGGTGCGGTTTGTGACTACCTGTGACAGGGAGACCGCCACTAAACATGGTAAAACTGTAATAGTTGTCTGTCAAATAAGATTGGCAAATAAGTGTAGTTAAATCTTTTTTGCATGGTTAATCACATCTTTCCAATGATTACTCAGTTTGTAACCGTCATCACGGTTGAAATTATGTCTGTGTTTGTATATTTGTATGGCTTCGTGTACAAACCTTTGATGGTAGCCAGGAGGTTTGCAGAGAACCTTGGTCTCGGAAAATACAATTTCATGAGAGCCCACCGAGTTGTAGCAATGATCGGCAACGGCTGAAGAATCAGTTCTGCCGTGTTTCAGATCTGACTTGTGAAACACGGCAGTGTTGTGTATGTACCCCCTTTTTATTTTTTTAATATTCTTTTTTTTAAAGAATTATTCTGCCAACATATATATCGTTTTTTTTAATAGACACTGGGCAACGTGGAACGAACACGCCCCCACACTTCCACAGATGTGCGCATACCTCATTTCAAAGGAAAGAGGGCATGAAAGAGGGCAATCAAGGTCATAAAAACTCCCCGAATTTCACACAAGAGGAACAAGGGAGGGGGGAATGGCAGGCGGGGGGTTAGAATGACACCCTTTCGTAAAAAGCCTTACAAAACCAGGCACCACGGAGGAAGAGATAATTATATTCTTAACAAAGAAACAGCATTGACGACAAAAAGCACATACGGGTCTTTGAACCATGTTAGATACACAAAGTTACCAACTTAGCCATGAAGATTAAGCAAACAGTATCCATCCTCACTCCAATTGGAAATCAGACTACAGTCTGCACCAGAATCGCGACTCATCATTGTTAATTAAATACTGACATTATTTACCTTTAAAGAATTTCTACACGGCCGGGCCGAAGCATCGAAGAATAATTATGGCATCTATTTCGCTCCAAAACAAAGATCCCTAGCCGGGATATCAGATTAAATAATCACAAGAAGTCAAATAATAAGTACGGAATTAAAGTAGAAGAGGAATCAAGGGCGGAGAAGGCTCTCAAAATTAACCAAACGCAACACCCATGGGAAGCGAGCAACACGGCCGTCTTTGTCTTTCCGAGAGGATCTCCACACGCAGGCACAAAGCCAGGAAATGACACCCATAAAGGTTGGGGCAATGGCTCAAAGGAAATTAACACGTCTTCGAAGATAAATAAATAAGCGCATGCGCCGGGTGCTTCCACCGTGGAAACAACCGTCTTTGTCTCCCCACAACACGGACAGCAAAAATTGCACACGCGAGGAAATAACATTTCCATGAGAGATCGGGTCACGATGAAACATCGTGAACACGGTTTCGGCATAACTTGGGCATAATGGAACCAAGCAGCAAATAAGTCGCATTTCAACTTCCAAACCAAAACAACTTAAGCTGTGCGAGACAAAAGATATGATCCCCGAGCAAGGGAGGGAATAATTAAGCTCGCTTAACGCGTAGGTTTTCGTGACAAATATTATTCAGTAACAAAACATGGATTCGAATGTTTTTTTTATATATAACTCGACGCGAATCATCGGTCTGGCTAATGGATAACTTCGGTGGCGCCGTCACGAGGCCCCCACCCCCCCCCCCTTTTCTTCCAGAACGACACACAGCTGTGTCTTCAAAGCTAATAAACACACGGACGGACACGCACACGACACACACACAGACGCAGATGGTTCACACCCACAGGAATGTTTTATGACAGACTTTGAACAACTCGGGAAACTGAGTGGAATTTCCAGATATAAACCGAAGGAAAATCCATACAAAGGAGATCGCCAGGGCTCTGAGCCCCATCTCGTCGCCTGGGCTTCGGCTCCACCACAGATCTTCACGAGCTCCGGCCTACATCTCATCTCGTCTCCGGGCTAAGGCCCCACCAGAGATCTCCAGGGCGACAGCCATCTCTCCTCGCCGCCGCCAACGAAGAAGCTCCTGTCATCCAGAAGGACGAGGCTCGTGGGGTGGCGACGTGCGTCGCCTTGACGTGCATCGCCGAGGTGCGCGCCTGCCGCACACGAGTGAACGAGCCAGCTCCCTTGCCGCCACCACACACGTGCTCGCCTGACCACGCAAACGAGCGCAGCCACGCCGTCAATCTTCGTACGGGCTCAGCCGAGGCAGGAGTCTGAAGCAGCCGATCACCGCAGCCGCGACAAAGAGGGCCCTTCTCCGAAAGTCGTTCGTACCCACAACTTCCCTCACGTAGGCTCACACGCGCTCGCGTCGACGCCCACCTCCCTTTGAGACTATCTATTTCGTCCTTACCATCATATCAACCCTACACAATTATCGGAAGACTGATTATCAACTACATGAACCATCAGCTGGCCATGAGGAATCGTGGCCCATCGAGTGATTAAGAGTCCGTCGGTTATAAGAGTGAGGTTGTTTCCGTGCCTTTCCCTTGTTCCGCTCATCACATAGGCGATCAATAGACTCGTCGAGGCAAACTCAACCTCCCGAAATCCTCATTACGAATCGACCGTACACAGAGAGAGAAAATCTTGTCAAACCAGTTTCCTTTGTCATAGAGTCTCGCCGAAGCATTAATTAAAACAGAGCCAGATTCGCTCTCCCACACCCACGCCCTCACCCACCATTATATCAAACATTCCGTTAAAAGTATTTTATACTTGCCGATGAATCTATTGACATATACTTTCGCCTCTGGGATACAATAAGTGCTTTTGATTACCGCAAAATGAAGTGTGTCATGCTTGTTTTCAAATTCGGCCAGTCGCCGATTGTGATCGATACAAAAACGAACTAATGAGATGCCTGGTGGGAAGGTAGAGGTTACGATTGTTAGGAGGGTTTTTAGTCATTCAGTTCGTTAAATGCACAATATCGCAAATGCATAAGAGTTTTGAGTTATTCAATTTAGTAAATGCATAGTCTCGCAAATGCATACGTGTTCATTCATTCATTTTAGTCAAATGCTTAATCTCGTAATTGCATAAGAATTTTAGTTATCCATATTAGTCGAATGCATAATATCGCAAATGCATAAGAGTTTGGTTATTCAATTTAGTTAAATGCATAGTCTCGCAAATGCATACGTGTTTATTCATTCATTTTCGTCAAATGCATAGTCTCGTAATTGCATAAGAGTTTTAGTTATTCATATTAGTCTAATGCATATCGCAAATGCATAAGAGTTTGGTTATTCCATTTAGTTAAATACATAGTCTCGCAAATGTTAGAAGTGTTTAGTCATCCATTTTTCGTTAAGTGCATAATCTTACCCATGAATTATCGACGCATGTTTGACCTGCATGATAGAATGTCACATGCTTGTTAGAATAAAATTGTTACCACAGAAGCATATCGAGTGTTCCTTCCAAGTCCATGCAAAACCATCTTATTCTTGATAACTGTATCCTGTGATGAGATATGAAAATGGAGACCTAAAATATCATAACACACACTAGGATAATCGGTAAACGTTTAATCGATGATAATCGTGTTATCCTGATTGAGATAACACTGGATAAACGAAGCTGAGCCTAATTATCATAACTGCACACATTAACAGAATCGCAAGCATCCGCATAAATTACTACGATTATCTCCGCGATTATCATAATTTATGCATATAATTACTCACATTATCATAATATATGCATATAATTACTCATTATCATAATTTGTGCATATTAATACACACATTAACATAATTAATGTGATTTGCGCATTTTTCGGAAAATTATTAATTTTTATTATTTTTATCAAAATTTCATAATCCAACACATACAACAGCAGAACTTATTCTTCAGCCTTTGCCGATCATTGCTACAACTCGGTGGGCTCTCATGAAATTGTATTTTCCGAGACCAAGGTTCTTTGCAAACCTCCTGGCTATCATCAAAGGTTTGTACACGAAGCCATACAAATATACAAACACAGACATAATTTCAACCGTGATGACGGTTACAAACTGAGTAATCATTGGAAAGATGTGATTAACCATGCAAAAAAGATTTAACTACACTTATTTGCCAATCTTATTTGACAGACAACTATTACAGTTTTACCATGTTTAGTGGCGGTCTCCCTGTCACAGGTAGTCACAAACCGCACCTCTCCACTCTTAGTCTTAAGCCTCACCTTACCATATTAATAAAAAGTATGCGGCCCTTGCCCCACCACCTTCTCTAACCATTATATAAACGGAGTGGTAGCTACTGCAATCTCTCATTTACTTGATACAGCTGTCGTGGCTGTGACGGTACCACCTGAAGACGGAAGCTTGTGTTGCCTCCGAAACGTCGTGATTTTTTATTTCATTTTACTTTTTAATGTTTTTACCTACATGACTTTACCGAAAAAACCTAAGAATGAGAGTTAATAGACTTTACTGCAAATACAAACTTGACACTGTCACACACTCAGAGGTGGAGCCAGGATTTTCAGGTAGGGGGGGGAAACCCCTCCAGCAATGAAAAATTACAGGAGTTGTTAGTAAGGAGTTGTTAGTGAGAAAGGAGTTGTTAGTAAGAAAGGACTTGTCCCTTGCTTTTCATTCGACGCGTGTGATCGTCATCGCACTCGCTGAACGTGTTGATGCCTTCAGGAAATAAAAATAGACTTTTGTATTTTTGGGGGGGGGGGGGGAATGACCATGAAGTATGTGGCATCAACCCGCATCACACCTGAGCTAAGCGCTCTGCAATGCTTACCCCCCTACCACATGGCTCTTCGCGCGCCGTACTTCTACAGCTGTTCACAGCGTGCCGGGAGATTTTAGGTGGCGCTTCGCTCCTGGCCGATGAAGTCAATGGCTTCTCGGAGTTTCAATACAAATCCGTGTGAAGAACGGGTACAACTGCCATCTTAAATATAAAACAGAACTTACACCTGTTTGTTTGTGTGAAGCAGCAAAATCTCTCCAACGCTGTGAGCTCTGGCGTCATGAAATTTTCACAGCTTATGCTGTCTGGAATGTCTAAGCGAACGCCACGTCATTCCCTTCCCGAGTGGCAAAAATCGACCTGACGTAGCAGTGGGTTCAGGTTGAATTTCCTTGAGTGAAAACATCCGATTTAGGTAAATTGAAGTGTTTCGGCTTCCTTCTTGCAAGCATCAATTTTTTCAGGGTTTTTCATTGAATTATGAGGGAATATTAAATTAATCCAAGACAAGAATCCAAGTCCCGGGCGAAGCCGGGTAGTGAAGCTAGTTACTAATAAACCCCAATGATCCTATCAAAATTAGGGATTTATATCGGATCGTTGGGGGGGCACGTGCCACCCCACCCCCACTGGCTCCACCACTGTCACGCACTGGCATGGTTCACAGGTGGTGGTGTGTCCAGACCCACGCCTGGCCACCTTCACCTGCTCAGTATTAATGCTTCCTCACTCCAAGTAATTCATTGAGGATCAATCAACACAGCCGAGGCTGCGTGTCTCTCTCTCTCCGTGGTGAGATGTTAACTACCTCTCCTGGCATACAGGAAGTCGTGGGTTCGATCCCAGCCTTGACGCCTGCTGTATATTTGGAGTTTGCGTGCCTCTCTCTCTCTCCCCCCGTGGTCGCGTCGATTTCCCTCCGTGTCCCCCGGTTGTCCCCACTCCACATGCAGAGAGTGAACACCGCCACGCGTCCAGAGTGAACACCGCCACGCGTCCAGAGTGAACACCACCACGTGTCTAGAGTGAACGCCGCCACGCGTCCAGAGTGAACACCGCCACGCGTCTAGAGTAAACACCGCCACGCGTCTAGAGTGAATACCGCCACGCGTCTAGAGTGAACACTGCCACGCGTCTAGAGCGAACACCACCACGCGTCCAAAGCGAACACCGCCACGCGTCCAGAGTGAACACCGCCACGCGTCGAGAGTGAACACCGCCACGTGTCTAGAGTGAACACCGCCACGTGTCTAGAGTGAACACCGCCACGTGTCTAGAGTGAACACCGCCACTCTGTTGACGAGCCTCACCTTGTTGTTATTGTTGTTGTGGGCAGGTCGCTTTTGAAAACAAGAGCGGTACAGCAGCTCAAGCGGGCGTGGCCTGGTAAAAAATGAAAAAAAACGTGTGAATATTTAAAACAAAACAAGTTACAAAGTAGCGAGCCAGGTGAAGGGAAATTAAAACTTAAGCAAGATACTCTTTGGTTCTTTCGGTAAAGTCACGTAGAATAAATAAATACATTATATAATAGCATACGACGTTTCAACTGCAACACAAGCAATCATCATCAGGTACAAATGAAAAAAAAACCTATTAAACTTAGAGTCATCTAACATAACAGTCAACACCCTACCTGGTTGATAACGTTCTTCCAAAGATTGCTCAATTTGAGAGAGAGACACGGAGACACATAGACAGACACATAAGCAGAGAGAGATGACACAGACACACAGAGAGAGACACATATAGACACACAGAGAGAGAGACATATAGACACACAGAGAGAGATGACAGAAAGACACAGAGAGAGAGACACACACACATAGACACACAGAAAGAGATGACACAGAGACACACAGAGAGAGACACACACAGAGAGATGACAGAGAGAGACACACACATAGACACACAGAAAGAGATGACACAGAGACACACAGAGAGAGACACACACAGACACACAGAGAGATGACAGAGAGAGAGACACACACATAGACACACAGAGAGAGATGACAGAGAGACACACAGAGAGAGAGACACACATAGACACACAGAGAGAGATGACACAGAGACACACGGAGAGAGACACACATAGGCACACAGAGAAACAACGCCTCTGTGTTGAGGCCTTAAATAGAGAGGGGGGGGGGTAGAGAAACTAGCACGTCAATGCAAGGCCGTAGCCATGGAGTCAACATTGGGGGGGACCAAATCTTCCACGGGTCTGGGGTGGCCCCCCCCCAGAAAAATATCTAAATTTCAAAACTATTTTCCTGCCATTTCCTCCCTAAAATATTTTTTAAAGTTCACTAGCACATGGGATGGACTTTGTTTTATTTGATACAATAACGTCTAATAGTGTATTGTAATACATTGCTCTGTTTTTTCTTTTTTACCTTTCTTGTTTCATTGTATGTAATGGCAGAGATTAGGGATTCATGAAGTACAACGCAATCCTATAAACAGGAATCTATGTATTGTTACATGAAGACAAGTCCAGATCTTGTGGCTTAGCAAATTGTTGTTTTTATTAACAGAGCATCGCAATTATTATTTACAAATATTTTTATAGCAACATATTGGGGGGGGGGGGGGGGGGACATTTGGAGCATATTTGATTATAATTAGTATAACATATTATAATTATTATAACATATTATAATTACGGCTTTGTGTCAATGAGAGATTTGGAGGTTTGGTGACTGCACTTAATCAAACAAACTTAATAAAATTAGAAAAGTAATGCAATGCAACACAGAGAGTGGGTCAACACACAACTAACGCGTCTCCTGGCTGATTACGTTCTTCCACAGATTGCAAAACTAAGCGAGATAATCTTCTTGGTTCTTTCGGTAAAGTCACGTAGAAGGGAAATAATAAAAATAAAACAAAATAAAATACAATTCTCACGACGTTTCGGCCACAACGCAAGCAGCCGTCCTCAGGTGAAGACCAGGTCTGTCGGGAAGACCCTGGGGTGTTTCATTCAGACGTGACTTTACCGAAAAAACCAAGAAGATGAATCCCTGCAGTCACGAAAGCTTCAAATCGAAATCTAAGCGAGAGAATTGAAGCGAACGCGACCAGCCGAGGGCAGGAGGCACTAGGCCCGCGTTGTAAAGTTTAAATCTGGACATCGCTTCCATGCTCGCTGCTACTCAATTGACATCCCTACGAGAGAGAGCGAGGCTCTACCTCGGTAAACAACAACAACAACCACAACAACAACCACCACAACAACCACAATCACCACAACAACAACCACCACAACAACAACCACCACAACCACCACAACAACCACCACCACCACCACAACCACCCCCACCACAACAACCACCACAACAACCACAATCACCACAACAACCACCACAACAACCACAATCACCACAACAACAACCACCACAACAACCACCACAACAACCACAACCACCACAACAACCACAACCACCACAACAACAACCACCACAACCACCACAACTACAACCACCACAACAACAACCACCACAACAACAACCACCACAACCACAACAACCACAATCACCACAACAACCACCACCACAACCACAACCACCACAACAACAACCACCACAACAACAACCACCACAACAACAACCACCACAACAACAACCACAATCACAACAACCACCACAACAACAACCACCACCACCACAACAACCACCACAACAACCACAATCACCACAAGAACAACCACCACCACAACAACCACAACCACCACAACAACAACCACCACCACAACAACCACCACCACAACCACCACAACCACAACAACCACCACAACAACAACAACCATCACAACAACCACAATCACCACAACAACAACCACCACCACAACAACCACCACAACAACAACAACCACCACAACAACAACCACCACCACCACAACCACAACCACCACAACCACAACAACCACCACAACAACAACCACCACAACAACAACAACCACCACAATCACCACAACAACAACCACCACCACAACAACCACCACAACAACAACAACCACCACAACAACAACCACCACCACAACCACAACCACCACAACAACAACCACCACAACAACAACCACCACAACAACAACAACCACCACAACAACCACAATCACCACAACAACCGCGATGAGAATCTCACCTCGGAATTCAGCGCACGGGCCGAGCGGAAACTTCCCGGTCCCTCGTGACGTCACGCGGCAGCAGGTGACATGACGTCACTTGCGGGGTACGATGACACTCCCCTCCCACAATGAGCGGCCCTCAACTCGCGACGGCTTTCATGAATAAATTATGTTAATGAGCCGCCAGTCACCGGGCGTGGCTTTGCCCAAATAAGGATTGGCACTGGAGCGGAGGTGACGTCACGCTCAAGAGCGCGTGAGTTGGGTGAATACCTTGGTCACATGACGTCACTAACAAGGCACACCTCCCCGTGGCGTTTGACGCCGATGAGGTCACGCTGAGCGGTGACGTCAGAGAACGGGGTCAGAGTTCAAGTTTGTTGTTGTTGGCAGTGTCGTGCTGAGCGCTGCGCTCCGCACCGACCAGCCGAGTTCCATTCCCGCTCGTGGCCAACGCCGCCAGAGACACTTTCTGAGCCGGTCCTGAGCCTCCCCTACGTCTAATGTTACTTGTCAGTGTCTCATTAACCTAGTAGCACAAGTAGCTACTAATGCTACTTGTCAGTGTCTCATTATCCTAGTAGCACAAGTAGCTACTAATGTTACTTGTCAGTGTCTCATTAACCTAGTAGCACAAGTAGCTACTAATGCTACTTGTCAGTGTCTCATTATCCTAGTAGCACAAGTAGCTACTAATGTTACTTGTCAGTGTCTCATTATCCTAGTAGCACAAGTAGCTACTAATGTTACTTGTCAGTGTCTCATTAACCTAGTAGCACAAGTAGCTACTAATGTTACTTGTCAGTGTCTCATTATCCTAGTAGCACAAGTAGCTACTAATGTTACTTGTCAGTGTCTCATTAACCTAGTAGCACAAGTAGCTACTAATGCTACTTGTCAGTGTCTCATTATCCTAGTAGCACAAGTAGCTACTAATGTTACTTGTCAGTGTCTCATTATCCTAGTAGCACAAGTAGCTACTAATGTTACTTGTCAGTGTCTCATTAACCTAGTAGCACAAGTAGCTACTAATGTTACTTGTCAGTGTCTCATTATCCTAGTAGCACAAGTAGCTACTAATGTTACTTGTCAGTGTCTCATTAACCTAGTAGCACAAGTAGCTACTAATGTTACTTGTCAGTGTCTCATTATCCTAGTAGCACAAGTAGCTACTAATGTTACTTGTCAGTGTCTCATTAACCTAGTAGCACAAGTAGCTACTAATGTTACTTGTCAGTGTCTCATTATCCTAGTAGCACAAGTAGCTACTAATGATACTTGTCAGTGTCTCATTAACCTAGTAGCACAAGTAGCTACTAATGTTACTTGTCAGTGTCTCATTATCCTAGTAGCACAAGTAGCTACTAATGCTACTTGTCAGTGTCTCATTATCCTAGTAGCACAAGTAGCTACGATTCCAAAGAACACAGGATGAGATGTTATTATCCTTTGTGCAAGCACTTCCAAGAGTTCATGAACAGTGAGCCTGGTGAAATTTGGGGAGCGCATCGTCAGTAGTGAACCTTTGGGTC